AAGGAGTATATATGTTAACAAAACTTGCATTATGTGTATTTTATGTGTGCACTTTTAACATTTTCAGTTAGGCATGTATTAGTAACTTGAGTTTGAACATTGCTATGATCTGTTCAGTTGTCATCACTTATTAGACATTCATTTGACTATCGCAACGCGAAAATGGCTATCGCAACGCGAAAATGGTTATCGCAACGAGAAAATCGCATTGCGATTTTCATTTCGCATTGCGATTTTCATTTCGCATTGCGATTTTCATTTCGCATTGCGATTTTCTCGTTGCGATAGCCATTTCGCGTTGCGATAGTCTGTTTTGCCTTCAACATAAAGCAGATTGAAAATCAACAAATCAACTATTACATTTCAACACAAATTATGTACACATCAATTAAACAAATCAAGATTTACAAATTATCTTTTACAAATCAATTAAACAATCAAAAAATAATAATAATTCTTATTTCTTCATCAATTATTGAATCAATGAATCAACAACTTTGTGACCCCGTACATCTATTTCACGCAGCTCACTTAAGGATTAACCTGCAGAAACCAAACATTTGCTCAAACAAGACTTCCTACACATCTAAAACCTACAAACAGCAAATTATTGAATTCTAGGTACTTAACCAAACATTTTCAAACCAAAAGGAGTATATATGTTAACAAAACTTGCATTTGACTTACCAATTAACAATGGACACTTTCATAACGCGAATGCAGGTAGGCAGCGTCTCAAATATATTGCTCTAGCCATATAATGCCGAAACCACAAGCCTACTGCAGCTCTATCTCTATCGGTGGGAGGTAAAAACTCTGTGCTTCCCGTCGTCAAACGCGCCAAGCAAAGGCATACGAGACTGGCTCCCGGCGATTGCTGTGGCGCGGTCTCGTCTCTGACAACTGTGACATTGAACTTCTTTGGCTTCTTGTGTCCAGAATGACTCCAATACTTAATCCCATCCAAGAATTTAGCCAAATGAGAGCTCCATCCCTTGAAAATATATCTCAAATCAGACAGTGATATGTAATTGATCATGCTGTCATACACTATTATCTTCAGGGATGGGAGCTGAAGTTGGACGAGAAGCCAGTGACGACGTTCCAAATAGGATAAACACCTGCGATCATAAGTAATAATTCATTTATTTGCGCACTTATTTATGAACACCTTTAAAAAATTTAAAAAATAAACACTAACCTTATCGACCTCCCACCATGCAAGATAAAGTTTAGCTTGTCCATTGCCCAACAAAAATGATTCATCTCGTTGATTCTTCAAGTGAGCTGCGTGAAAAGCCGTCGGCATTATTGTATATAGCGAATTTTTTTTATTTTTCCTAAGCTTCCTTATTATTAGTAGACGTGACACCCACGCATCGATATGCTGTTTTACAAAAAAATACATATATTAGTGAATTACATTAATTTTTAAACAAATTAATCAAAATCATATATAAGACAAATATAGTCTTACCTCCCCATCCAAATAGCCACTGTCTTCAACCCCTAATAGCACACCCACCAAGACCGATCAAGCAACAAAAACATTTCATCGTGAGTTGCTGATGTCAGTGTAACACCCTTGGCTCCGCTCATGTAGATAAAATCAACTGCGGTCTTAGCCCAAAGGGTATTATCCACAATGTTTCCGGTAGTTGTCTCCTCTCCACTTCAGATACCGGAAGGGTACTAGCCGGTAACTCATACGAGAGCCAACTCTCATCCATCATGTCCGGAACCGGTGGGGGTTTCTCAATACTTCGATATATTACCCCATATGAATCGGGCTCTGGAATGGTGGGAGGGACCTCTTCAACGATGACAGTGGCCTCTTGAACGGTGGGGGGAATCTTGAGGGAGAATAGGGGCCTCTTGAACGATTGGAGGGGACTCTTGAGGGATGACCGGTGAGTCGGGCTTCTTCTTGCGGAGTCTTCGCACCATTGGGGTGAACGAAGACGTAATAGCACGTCCACGCCGTCTGATGCGTGAACTCCGTCGTGCAAGGAAAACCCGACGTAAAGCATCCACCTTATCGGGCCGCTAAAAAAATTAATACATAAATCAGTAAATAAACAGACATGATATTAAACAAAGACAAATATGTTTCAAACTAGCATTGTATTCACCCAAATCATTATTCTATCATAGTTCACAAAATGCTCAGATAACATTCCAGAAGTAAGCACTTATATAAACATTTTAAAGGACAACATATATAAACATTCCAGAAGAAGAATAGTTTACTTTCGCAACACGAAACTTAAAATCGCAACGCGAAATGACTATCGCAACGCGGAAATGGCTATCGCAATGCGAAATGAAAATCGCAACGACAAAATCGCAACGCGAAATGAAATCGCAACGACAAAATCGCAACGCGAAACACAAATCGCGAAACACAAAACCTAATAATAATGCAAAAATTTCAAAAAGAAAATAATTAAAAAAACTAACCCTCGTTGGTTGATTTGGTTGATTTTTCATTTCTGATTGTGAGGGTGGCTCTGAGAGATTTAGATAGACGGATTTCGCCGGAGATGGGGACGGATTTCGTCGGAGATGGGTGAGAGAGTGAGAGATGGAGATGGGACTGAGTTGTGATTTTAGGTTTTAGGTTATGAGTTGCGATTACGGGATATACTGTGGACAGTTCAGTGTTCCAATATATTAATATTCATGTTTGGAATTTAAAAATAAAATACTTGGCCAGGATACTAATGGCGCTTTGAAAATCGCATTGCGATTATGTATTATCGCGTTGCGAAAGTCAGTATCGCGTTGCGAAAGTAAGTATCTCGTTGCGATTTTTTATTATCGCATTGCGATAGTCAGTATCGCATTGCGATTTTCCCAATTCGCGTTGCGATTTACTTATTCGCATTGCGATTTTCCCAATTCGCGTTGCGATTTACTTATTCGCATTGCGAATTGGGAAAATCGCAACGATACTGTAGACCATCGCAACGCGATTTTCAACTATCGCATTGCGAAAATGCAACGCGAATTTGTGATAATGGAGATCGCGTTGCGAATTAGCGATCGCATTGCGATTTTGTTGGTCATTTTGGCAAATCCGGAAAAAGTTGGTTAAAATCGTATATTATATGGGATTTTTGGTCACTGAGGTTATTTTCTCTAACTTTAATAGTTAAGAGATTATTGTTCTCTCTTAAAATTCTAGATTTGAAAATTACCTATACATGAAAATTATTAGATGAGCTCTTCCTACCGCGGGAGTCCTTTATTAACTAATAATTTTATACCAAATAAGAATTAATTTATGTCATAAAATATTTTGCCAACACATGATTAATCTCCATTCCAACTCAACATCCATCCTCCTTCGTTTACTTCTTCCCTGCACTCCTTTCTCTTTGTCAATAAAATATATTTTACCAATTTTATTTTATTTTTTTCATTTGGAACTTTAATGAACACTGGGTTTGATTAAAAAAATCACAATCTCTTGTAAATGTGGCATTTATAACATAAACTAATATTATATCTAAAATTTATTGGTCGAATTTATATGTGAAATTGATATTTTTTCTAAAATTTAAGAGTTATAATAATATTGCATCTAAAGCCTAGAATCAAATTAATATTATATCTAAAATTTATTGGTCAAATTAAAAATTAATTCCTTTTATACCACATCATTAAATTAACAAAAATTAAAATATCAATAACTAAAATATATAATAATTGATAACATCACGTGATCAAAATTTAATAAATCAATCATGTAATTCATTAAAATATTATTTTTTAAATTTATAAATAAAAAAGTATGAAATAAAGTGATCAACTCTTTAAAAAATAATAAAGAATGCATCCACATACTTCAATTTATCACAATATTAAGAAAAGAAAATCAACATAAACCATCGTCAAACAAACAGGAAAACTCAAATATATTGGTTCCCTGTTCGTAATTTCACTCCTCATCCACGTGTCTTATTCTCCTTACCGATAGTATTGTAATATGCAAAGCTGGCGGGTTCCATAAATAATGTCTTCTTCTCCTAATCTTTGTCTGGTAATGGTTTCCCAAACATTTTCCCGCTTGAAAAGGTCAATTCTTGCAAACAAGTAGCCCAAGGTAAGTCCAGACAACAAAAGCAACAGCCAAACCCAATTAGTAAATAAGAAAATAACCCAAATTTCCCGGTTTTCTTCAATTGCTTTGCTTCACATGAGTGTGATTCAATTCAAACTAATACTCCATTAAAATAATCCAACCTAAGCAACCGACCTCACCGCTCCTAATTTTCTGGGTTTGACCTTTCTCTTTGATCTTTATCTGAAAATCCCAACAAGTTCTCTCTTTGCTTGCCTTTTGAAGATCCATTTCTTGTTCCTTAAACCAGTCAGGTAAGTTGCTCGATTTCAACATAAATACAGATTACTTTTGGCCTTTGGATCTTCATATATTTTATTTGGTTTTTCATTTATATTTTGGGCTCTTTTTTTATCTGAAGAATTCAGTTCCTGGATCGGAACTCTATGCTAGATTAATCGTTTTCTTCTTTGATTCGATTATTGTTTGACCGACAAGAGAAAAAAGGGGTTTGGGTTAAAAATAATGGAGTTTTATGTTGTTGTGGATCCAATTTTAGACTGATATCTAGGTGTTTATGTCTAAAATTTTTGGGTCTTCAATCTGGTTTTACATAGTTGCAGTCCACTTTGAAGTCAAGTGTCACTTGGTTCATCAAACGGATCGTTGACTAATTTTAATAATCTTATTTCCTATGAGGGGTTATCAGTAGAAATTATCTTCTTTTTTTTTGAATAGTCTTGTAGTATTTGTTTACAATTTTATTAGTTAATTGACAAAGGAGGCATTCCTTGCGGACTCGGTTGCACGAAACCGAGTTCTCTAGGAAAAATAACATTCTTTTTTTACCCGAGTTCGATTAGTAGAAATTACTATGACCCATAAAGGAAACTTGCAGAAGAATTCCTGGTTTACTATTGGATGGGATTGAAAGGAAACAAACATACAAAAAAAATAGTTTGTTTCGTCTGTGGCAACATTATTGTAGCCTGGGATGCTATTTCATACTCGGAAAAAGATGGTTTTCTTAGAAGGGCATATACGAGAAAATAAAGAAAACGAAACTGACAAACAAGTTGTAGGAAAGAGCAATCTAATGCTAACTGTTGTTATGAATAGTTAAGGCAGAGCATTCATACAAAAAAGTGAATAAATTGTAATAAAGAATAATTTTGAATTTGCATGTCATTCATACAAAAAAAGTGCATAGGTTTTGTTCACACATCTATGTCCCTCATGTTCTTATGCAATTTCTTGTTTTCTCATGAAAAATGAGATATTGCTTTTGTTTTTTTTCTTTAACAAGCTTGCATTTGGAACACAATGTGCAGATGTAGTGACACTGAGATTAATGATACTACAATTGTAAAGGATTTAACTGTTAACATACAGGGAGACATCGGTTAAACTATGAGTGTAGATTTAAAGAAATCCTCTTCAAATAGCTCCGAGAAGTCACTACCATATGAAGAGCAGCAGGCAAAGGTATATTTTGTTTATAGGATCCAATATCCCTAGTTTATCATATATTACCATTTTGACCTATCATAGATATTGATGGTTGAAGCAAGCAAAAGCTACTTGGACGTTGTGGAGTAAAGTTTTCAGACCTTTTGATATTTGCAGATTACTGAAATGAGAAAGTTTATAGGACCATTGCCTGAGAAGTTAGCCATTTATTGTTCTGATGCAGCCATCACTAGATATTTAAGGGCTCGAAACTGGAATGTCAAGAAGGCATCTAAAATGCTGAAAGAAACCTTGAAATGGAGAGCGGAATACAAACCAGAAGAGATTCACTGGGTATGCTACAATTCAGCCTCCCATGATTTATCTGTTGTTTCTTAAAGTATGAAATACATGCAGGACTTGACCATTGAGGATACTAGGAATTGCCAATCCTAGGCCTTACTTTCTTAATCATAGCATTCTCTTGCGTTTTTTTTTCATGCACTCAGCATGGTTCATTGAATTAGGAACTTTCTTTTGTATTAACCCTTAAGAGGGAAACTCGATCCAATCTACTTATTAGGGCTGAATTCTGGTGACTTGGCAGCTCAGGGGCTTTGTCCTTTTTTGTGTGAACAAATAGCTGGTTCAGGTCAAACCTTTTTTCTTTTGCCATATGCTGCTTTAATTCTGTTTTTTTCTATGTAGGAAGAGGTTGCTCATGAAGCTGAGACAGGAAAGATCTACATATCAAATTATATAGATAAACATGGAAGAACAGTTCTTGTCATGAGACCTAGTTGCCAGGTTTCATCCGACTTCCTTCGATTTCTTTGCAATTTACACATCTTGTACTACATAAAGTTGAAACAATTTTGAGTGAATGCTATCAAAGTTTATTTGTGAAAGTTATCCTACACTAGAGAAACTGAAGAAACATATAAATATTAGATCTCAATCTAACGGTTTAAGATTTCTGGTCACAGTGGTGTCCATCTTTGTTCCAACAGTAGGATTATCCTCTATATCTTACGCCTTTAGTTAGTTCAAAAACAGGTCACTGCACCAGTATCCTTTGCCGACTTTTTCTAGATTAGTAAGCATGTATTATTGTGCAAGTAGCCAAGTAGACCATGAAGCAACTATGAGTGGAAAGAAAAAGGAACATTCTCTTTTTCCATATTTTTGGGACCATACCACTATCAGCCATGAGGATTCAAGTTTCAAAGCACACTACTTAACTGTGCGTTAGTTGGCCTTGACATCTTAGTTAAGTTTGCTTTGACTGCAGAACTCAAAATCAACAAAAGGGCAGATTAGGTATTTGGTTTATTGCATGGAGAATGCAATTTTAAATCTTCCAGCGGACCAGGAACAGATGGTCTGGTTGATTGACTTCAATGGCTTTAACTTGTCACATATATCAGTGAAGGTGACACGGGAAACAGCACATGTTTTACAAGAACATTATCCAGAGCGTCTAGGTGTGGCGATACTATACAACCCACCCAAGTTCTTCGAACCTTTCTGGACGGTAACCCGTTTGGATATTTTTCTCCTCCTTTTTTTCGTTCAGAAAATAAATTTTTCCCTGAGGTTATGTCTCAGAAGTATTCACAAAGTATTATTTATGCACATTGCACAGAGATCTATTTAAGCATTTGCAATGGTTATTATCTTAATATGGAATACCAAGTCGGAGATTTTCCAGATTCGTTATTGTTCTGCTTATGCTGTTATCTTATTAGTCCCATGCTTAATGTCTGATTGATTTAATATTGGAAGTACGTTCCTTGGCAGCTTGTGAAACCCTTTCTAGAGCCCAAGACTCAAAACAAAGTAAAATTTGTTTACTCTGTTGATCTCAATACCAAGAAAATAATGGAGGATCTTTTCGATATGGAGAAATTGGAGTCTGCATTTGGTGGAAACGACTACTCGGGTTTCAACATCAATAAGTACGCCGAGAGGATGAGGGAAGACGACAAGAGGATACATGCCTTTTGGACTAGGGGAAATGCTCAATCCACAGCTCCACCAGAACCCATGCCCACATCTACTGTTGACTTGAATTCTGTTGATCCAAACTCAGATTCTAATGCCTCTGACAATGGCAAGGTAGATGGTTCCTCCAGTCATGTTTAAGATTCAGAAAGCCTCATTTCTAGTAAAAACCGAAGCTCGAGTCATGTTTTGGATGGGGTAATAAGGTATGATGATCTGACAGTAAGCTGACTGTTTTAGTTAGTAATATGAAGTTGAATAGAGCTCCCTCAATTGTATCATTGGCCTTTGTCAAACTTCTGTTGAATGGATTTTGTCTTTCAGTTATTTCAATGCCTTTTGATAAGAACTTTTATTGTTTAGTCCTTTGAAAATTTGCTCTTTGATCTTCAATAATTAAATAACTGATGAACTTGTTAAGCATGTAATTCTCTTCTTGTTAGGGTTTCCTTGGCATTGATGTTATGATATCCTAGTATGCGTTCCATGCAGAGAGAAAGTAACTGATAAACTTGTTCTAATTGAGATTTTGTTTTCAGAGCTGTTAAGAAAAAAATTCAAAAATCGATCCCTATATATCGAAAATATATTTTATAACTTTAAACAATTAATTTAATATTATATTAATAAACCATAAAAATGATTAAATTTTATCAAGTACGTTGTTTTGATTATTTTGTTAAGAAAATAATTTAAGTACAACAAATATTTTAGTGATCATATTTAAGATGTTGTAATAACCATTATAACTCATGTAGATGTAAAAAGCTAACACCACTTGTAAAACTAACTGAAATTGACTTAAGTAAAAATTGTTTGTGACTCGAGGTGGTGGTGATCTGCAACCGATTCGAGTTTGAACTGATGTTGACATAAACCCGAGTTGAACCTAGAAGTTGTGGATCTGAACTCGACCAGCAACCAATCTAAGAATGACTTGAACCCGAATTGAACCGATATTATGATAACCGAACCCGATATGCATCGACTGATATGAACCTGAACTTGAAATTAACTTGGTAAATAAATAGTATTACTCGACTTGTTACCAACCTGACATGTTATGAATCTGACATGTAATTGACTCATCCTGTAAATAATCTAACTTGTTATTGAACTGATCTAATATTTACTTGACTTATAGTTACAATTGATGAAGTCATGCTATTTTAAATTTACGATAAACTATGATAAATAATTAATATGATTACTTTTTCAAAATTAAAACAAATTGTTAATTATAATAATTAAATTAATAAATTTACTTTATATATTAATTATAATCTTTACATTATAAATCTTAATTATAATCATTAAATTAATTTTATTAAATAATTTATTTATTGAACCTGATTTTATTAGATTACATAAAATTAATTTAAATATTTGTAAGTTTAATTTAGTTTTTATGTAAAAATTTATTAATAAATTAAATAAAATTTAATTTAAAATAAAAAACCCCATTATAAAATAATAGCCCAATAAATAAAATTAAGTCCATTTTACAAGCCCACTATATTGCAAAAAATTAGGGCTGTAAATGAAATTAAATATCGTGTTCATTGAAATTTTTAGTATCGTGTTCGTGTTTGTTTATTTATTTTTGAAGATGTTCGTGTTCGTTTATTTATTCTTCGCCAATATGTTCGTTTAATGTTCGCGAACGTGTTTATTTATATATTGACGAACATATTCATTTAACGTTCACGAATATGTTCGTTAGCGTTGTTTAGTGTTCATTTATATATTCAATTTTTAGTTTTACCTTGCTTGCTAATGGAAAATGATAAAGTTACAGCATTGATGCTCAAAATCGTTAAAATCCATAATTTAAATTTCAATTTTATCACGTGTTAAATTTAATCTCAACCTTTACTAATTTTAAAAAAAAAAGGAGAATTTGGTAAACGAGCTTGCTCATGAACATAAACGAACCAAATACGCATTTGTTCGTGTTTGTTTGTTTATTAAATGAACATAATTTTTTTTTCATACTTATTTATTTAGCTTAACGAACAAACATTCACGAATAGTTCATCGAATACTCTGTTCATTTATACTCTTACAAAAAATCAAAACTCTAGGGGTGTTTATGATTTAAAATATACCCGGGAATGATCCGAATTGATTTGACCCGGTTCCAACTTGATCCGAATCAAACCATTAAATTAAAATGACACAACTGTATCTGATTTAACCTAACATGACAGGATCCGACTCAAACCTAAATGATTACCTGATTTCACATCCCTAATAACTCATACTTTCCTATTAATATTCTTCTAATTCACACTTTTTCTGTCATCGAATTGAAAAATTGTTTGATTATAATTTTCTCTTTCAATTTTCTTGTTTAAATTCATACAAATTTAAATGATCCACGCTCCTCTCTGTGTCACATATGCAACCTCGAATTTAACTACCGAATCCATGTATGGATTTGTATTTTGAAGAAGACAATTGAAATTTTAATTTCGTTAAATATAAAATCGACACCTGTTTTGTTTGTTAGTAATTAATTAATTTTAAAATTCAGAAATATAATAGTTTACACGTCAATCTTTCGGTTTGTTGTTTGAAGTCTAAAATGTCAATCTCAATTTATAATTAGTGCAGTTAACTTGTTCCAAGGGCAAACACATAGGAGCAAGCTCCTAATCTTAGATAGGGATGGGCATTTAAACCCGACCTGATTTTTTTAAAAAAAATCGGGTTCGGGTCAGGTCGAGTTTTTTTTATGTGGTATTCTGGTCGGGTCGGATCTGGGTTTAGGGTGAAAAAAATTCGATCCGACCCGAAAAATATAATTTTACCATATATTTAGGGATAATTACAATAATATATCTCTCTCTATATTTTTTTCAATTAAGTCACTGTTTTTATTGAATAAAAATATTTTTTTTATTATTTTGGGTCGGGTCGGGTTTCTATGTCATATATTCAGGTCAGTTCGGGTGAAAACTTGTTTTGGTCGGGTCGGGTCTCGGGTGGAGACTCTCTTGTTCTCGGGTCAGGTGGACCAAAAACTCGACCCATGCCCATCCTAATCTTAGATATTACTATTTTATAGAAATAACCACGTTTTCATCACTAATAAATAAATAAAAACACTACCAAATGAAAACTCTTAAAATTCAAATCCTTACTCAAATCTCATTAAAGAGATGGCTTTTAAAATCCTAATTTAATTTCATTTAATGCATTTTTTAATTAGAAAAAAATTTAATTTCAAAACGTATTTTTTTAAATCTAATATTTTATATTATTAAAATTATTTGTATATTTTTAAAATTCTAATTGTATCCTCAAGAACTATGTTATATAGTTAAAGAGATGATTGCTATCTCTAAAGATCTCAAGTTCAAACATAAAAAACTATAAGTATATTTAAACTTTTATCGTTAAATGATCCTTAATACTTACAACATTCAATGAATTCCAAAAAGTAACCTTCACGCCATTTTATTCACGTCATCCGCTAGCTTATTCCCTTCGCAATGTACGTCTACAAAGTCGATTTCCCAGTTTTGCCTTGCAAGAAGAACTATATGTTGCATAATCGTATGTGGCATTTCCTTCTTTTGGTCATCTTGCAACCATCGAGCAACTTTCCAATTGTCTATCTCCACAATCGCTTTGTGTGCCCAAATTCTATACATAATACATACCTTTGTAAACACCCCATAATTCCGATTCAAGAATAATCCAAGATCATATATTCTTCGAAAATTCTAACGTTTAGTGATTTTTATCATCCATATTCACACAATGTTAAATCATCGTTTAACTTTTCACTTCTTCTATAAAATTTCACCCGAACTAATTATAATAATCTAAATTATTTTAAAACAATTATTTATCCAAACAAATTAATCACCATATCAAACTCTTTAAATGCTAGTATTATAATAATCTCTAAAATTTCTTATCCAAATACACTCTTAATACTTTCAATTTCTAAAAAATTAAAACAAATGACATGTGTTTTCTAGAACCAAGCAGCCTTTAATTTTTAATTTTTTAAGCACGCGAGTTAAATCTAAACATTGAGAAAGTAAGCAAAACTATTTTGACCAATTGAATTAAAAGAAACTAAAAAAATCTAAAAAGGGAAAGGGCTGAATTTGAGGCTAACGAGCCCATAAAGTTTAATGGAATGTGAAAAACGAAACTTTAACAACCTATATAGTTCATTAATAACAACAACCATAAACTGCTGGTTCATAGTATAGTCCGGTTGACTGATAATATAAAAAAAAAAAACAATGTTTGTGACACACTTTGGCATTGTTTTAAAACCGTATCTTGCCTCAAACAACAACCATACTATTTTTTTTTTCTTTTCTTCTGCTCGTTCTGTTTATTTATATATACGTACATGTACTTCAAGTAGCCAAATTCGAAGTTCACGAAAACAAAGAATTGCTGTTACAGTTGCAAAAAGAGTCCCAACAACAATCGAGTTTTGGGTGCTTGGTAATTTTTCACTTACCCTTCTCTTTTAATCGTTTCCCGGTTAATGATCTGAGTAAGCCGCCTGGAAGTCATGCGGTTCCTGCTTCGATTCTTTTAATTTTCTTTGATTATAAGGTGGAATGGTTAAATTTGGGAAAAATTAACGGTTTAATTACTGAAAGTTTTATGATAAATTTTTGGGTTTATTGGGAATTGAGCTGAAGAGTTATGTATCTTTGCTCTTTGTATTGATTGGCGACAGGGGGAAGAGGGTGTTTGTCTGTTCAATTTTTTTTCTTTACGTACTATCTGGTTCATCATGAATTGAGCATTTTTTGTGGGTCAAGCTCTGATCATAACGGCAGGGGGGATTTTCTCTAATTGGTTTTAGCGAATTCTTTAATATATTATTGATTTTGCCTTGGTCAAATTTTTGGAAAAGAAAGGGAGCAAATGTGTTAGGTTTTGATTTATATTAAGTTCGTGCCAGCTGATAATGCACGTTGAATCTTATATTTTTACTTCAATTCTTTCTTCTGCAACATTTTCACTGATCAATGGAAGCAAATTGACATTGCAGCTAACGGACTAAAATTCATGGGGGCTGTTCTGAGCTTGGCTGCACCAAGGAGCTCAATAAATGACTACAATGAAATCTTACAAAGTGAAACCTGCAAGAAAAAGAAGTTGTCATTCTTCGATGAAGATAACTCGAGATTGATTCCTTGTCTTCCCGACGAGCTATCAATGCATATCCTTGCTCGACTTCCTAGAATTAACTACTGCAATCTGAGGTTGGTTTCGCAGAAGTGGAAAGCAACTCTTATGAGCCCTCAGCTGTTTAATTTGAGAAAAAAACTTGGAATGACGGAGGAGTGGTTGTATGTGTTAACC